TTCAAAAGAATGAAATATGCTGTCAAATTTGACAACAGAAAATAACTCCTGGAATTTTAACATTGCACTCTCTCATTTACGCACATACGATTTCAAAAAAGAAGAAACAAATTAACTGCTCCTAGTGCTGCTTCCGAAACTAAACTTGTTGAAAGTTAATTATATATTTCAACACTCAGAGCGTAGTTACAAACGACATTAAAATTTCGTCACAATGTTTACGAAATTAGTTGTTAATGCAGAAAATGTTGCGACGAGACCTCGGATCATGCAGAAAATGTTATCAACGCAGTAATTCTCGTGTTCAAGCACCCCTCAACTCGATTCCACGCAAGCTCGTTCTAGGATGCCTTCTCAGCGTGTCATTCTCGGCAAACCTAACTGGGAAAAATCTAAATGATTTGTGTTCGATTGATAAAACAATATTGATTTCGTTTGTTTCTGACTGCCCTGACGAACGAAAATCGAAAGTTTTCGGTCTGTAATGCGGAAAAGATGGAGAAAGCTTAGATTATTTCTAATTACATGGAATAATTTGTGGGGAGGCGACAGTCTTCCTCAAACTACGCACACATATTCATGACTCACGTTATTTTGGAGGCATGCCCCGGGGCAGGGCAAAAGGAATTCCTTAATCAGGTTTCTTAAAACTATATTTTAAATCTTCAAAATGTTGAAAACCTAAAGAGAATTCTCAATAGAGTAATCCGAAAATTCACATAATCCGAAAATACACATATATTGAATTTCCGATTAAAAATAAATGTAGTGTACCCTTGTCATTATGATGTAATCTATAAAGCATTTAAAATGTTGAACAAAGATGTTCTAATGATTCCGGCAGCTAAATCTCGAATATCGGCTCTGGATATTACAAAAATAAATTATTTTAACAATATCAAATAATAATTGATAATGTCTTAAGGGATAAGGGATTCGAACCGGCTACTTTAAAACCAACTCGATCCTCAAAACCGGCTTCCGTTTCTGCGTTAATAATAAAAGTTAAATATTTTAAGAATCTATTTATGAAGTGAATTTTCTTTGAAGAATACAACTCTTATCTGGATAAACTACGTGTCGGAGGCAATAAAACGGTCTCGATATTTTGTATTTAGCTTGGGAAATCCACACAATGGTGAATAGAAAACTCATCACGCCACTTAATTTTACACTCTATGGGTTAGTTCCAACATCGACTACCGCCGACTACTGCAGCCCCATCCACACGGAGATTCTTTGTAATGTTTCTGTTACATATATTATTGCGGAGAGGTTAATTGGACACTCAAGAATGTGTGAAAGGAATTATGGAAAGGATTATTTACCTTACAAAAATATTATTTTACTCTAGATTTTTCATATGCCTTCAATATCGTAACCTCTTCTTTAAAACTCCCTATTCTTCGTCGGCAAGTATGTCCTTCGCCCCTGGGACTCGTCTCAGGGTCAAATGAGGGGGGGGGAGAAGGGTGTTGTAGACCGCAAGGTTGGTGTGGGCGCGTAGACTCACAGGGCGTTTTTACCCTAATGGGCCGTTAATACCGTGCCATTCACTATACGAGGCCCCCGGGATTCCCCTGGCCACGCAGCTAATAACGGGCCCCGAAACGCATTCGTAATACTTCGTAATTAACTGTCGGGCTCTGTCTTCCCGGACGCGCGCGCCACAAAGGATCAGCTCCGCTAAGCGAGAAAGCGGGAAGGCACGCGACAAAAACGAACTGGCAGGCGGAGCAGACGGCAGAAGCTGCGGAGGGCGGGTTGCGCGCATGGCAACTGCGCAGTCGACGCGCAGGACAGCGGGCAGAGCTGTTGCTTTCCACCCCTCGGCACCGGAGTTCGAATTCGGGCCTTTTCATGCTCAGCGGATGATGGACAATGCGTGCTCATGCGTGGAAGATTCTCTGGATAGTCTCGGCCAGCCATTCCACCTTTTCATTCATTTTCACGCAGGTCACTCACTACATCACCGCTCAGTTATTACCAAATCTCGTTTTACAAGCATGCCCTACCAACGAGGCGGTCGGAACCAGTCGATTTGGTTGTAAAAGAGAACCAATGAGATGTCTTTATGCAATTAAAACTATACGAATACCTTTATTAAACCGCTTAGAGCAGCAATACTTGTACGTGACGATTTATTAATAATTATATATATATATATATATATTTAATATATAATTCACAAATCTGTTTCTAAATTCTTTATTTACAAGCGATTTTCGCAACATCAACAGACATAGATAATCCGCGCTATGGAGCAAGTCTGAGTTTTAAGCAAGTTTTAAAACTACTCTTTGTTTCTCTAGAACGTTGAACACGCAAATGGAGTATATTTAAATAGAATTTATGAAGCCACTATGCCAGAAGGTAAATCACATTAACACACACTTGATACCTGAAAGTAAACGCTACTAGACAAATTTAATTTCCCGATGAAAAATACGTCAGGTCCTCTCTATCGATTGCTCCGAAGCGCTCGGACCTCTAATCAAAAATCGATACCCTCGTTAAGCGTCCGTCGACCCCGCGCGTAATCGCAGGAACCTCCGCCAGGTGGCGCCGCGAAAGGTGCGTGGTATCTGAAGAGCAAATGGTGGCCTGTGAGAACCTTCATCGCAAGGCCGGCTTCGGAGGGACGGGGACGGACTCAATACGTCTGTAAAGAGGTGGGAGAGTACCTCCCGTTTCCGGGTACGTCAATTGCTATGGTCATTAGTGTCGAAAATGTAGTTCTTGTAGCTCTACATATGTGAGATACCAATAGTCCTTGTAAGCTGGAACGTGAAATCCGTGCAGACTCACATGTCCTGTGCGTTCTTTCCTCCCTCTTTAAGTCTCCACCTCGGGGGTACCGCCTTGAGTGAGACATTTTCGGTAGTACGGCTCATGTAAGATGGTGTAGGCGGAGAAGTAGGGGGGCAAAGATAAGGAAAGGAACAACACGCGCTGTTTGTTGACGGTTTGTTAGAATATTACCCCGACGTTCGCCTGTTATTGATCGGAGGAACCACAGAAAACTACGGTTGGGGTGTAGTGAACTGAACGAAACAATGTAGTGTGGACTTAAAACAGTAGGCTTGTTGTTATACTAGCTCATGTCATGTCGAAGAAGGAATTACAGATAGGTATACTGTTTGTGGTAGAAGCTCTATACGGTGGTAGTGGTGATAATGGAGGAAATGACAGTAACCGAAAGGAGACGGTGTTGAAAATGATTTGGCGATGGTAGAGAATGGAGGATGTTTGGATAAACGTAGGGTGATGTGGAGTGTAATTTTATTGGAGATCTTCTGTTCGTCGCGGATATTGTAAACTGTCACGAGGGAAGCTGCAATTTTACCTGTGATGGTAGTGTGTAGTGCATTCGCCTTTCAGAGCTGGAACCATGGCTCGATTATAGGTGTGTTCGTACAATGAGTAGTGCCAAAAGCGAGTTCTCGCGTTTCCGTCGCCTATCGATGCAACATTTCTCTAGTAGGATTATTGTTATCACTCAAGCAACCCTCCCCCCCCCCGACCGTTTCACGCACCATGGGGATGGGCCGGGCAGAGACGGATCCGGCGGTCGAGGTCGATCGGTCGATACTGCAGACGTTGGGAATAGCGACGGCTCGAGTGTTTATGGCCTGCCTATAGCAAAGTTGCTGGGGCCAGAAAGGAAAAAGACCCGTTGTAAATTGAGCTGGCGGTGACCACTAGGCTGGAGCATCTATGGTGGTTGTGGCGAGGGAGAAGACGCAACGTGGTGGCAAGTGCAGTATTGGAGAATATGGATCTGTTGATGAAGACGTACACGTTACAGACCATGTAACCACAGCAGCTCTAGTGAGAAGGATGACGAAGATCGGGTCCGATAGCAGTGGCATCGACAGTTGACGAGACCACAGGTGGATGGCAGTGGCACTGTTGATATTAAAGAAGCTGGAGATAGTGAGGTCGATAATAATATAGCGGCAGCAAAGTAAGCGCAGCAGCTGCTGACTGACGTTGTGCACTGGCAATGGCTGTTGGTTGTTGAGGAGGGGCAGAGGGGCTGGCGGCTCTCCCGGGGCTGCGCCCCCCAAACGGCGAGCATCCGCGCAGATACCGCGCCGCGTCGTTCCGAGCGCTTTCACGCCGCCCCGCCCACGCCCCCGCCCCCGCGCGCGCTTTATCTGGTGACGTCACGGTGCGTCATCAACGTGTTATGACATCTTGCGGGGCGCACCCCACGGCCCCATGCCCCCGCCGAATGGTGCTCTTCTGCGCTGAAGCTCCTCTCTGCCACCACCCTCCTCTGTCTTCCCTCCCCTGCTCCTGCTTCAGCCCTCGCCTCTACCTCCCGGTCTTCGCCTCCACCAAATTCTCCGCCTCTTCCTTTGATTCCTAATCCGCCTTCCTCTCCTCCTCCAACTTCTACTTCCCCTCCCCTTTCCCATCCTCTCCGCCCTCCCTTCCTCCTGCGCCTCCCCCTTCGCCTTGCCCTTCCCCTCCGTATCCCCTCCCCCCCCCCTACTCCTACCCCTCTGCCTTCTCCTCCGCCTCTACCTTCCCCTCCCTTTCCACCTTCACTCCATTTTCGCCTACCCCTCCGCCGCCGCATTTCTTCAACCTTCTCCTTCGTCCCTCGCGTGCTACAATGTTTCTAGCGTCATCTAACCCCTGGAAAGATGAGATTTGTAATCACGTGACAAAAAACAGGAAATAGATTGAGCACTCTTCTTCCTCGTCTACATTTAAGTCCAGCAGAATTCGAGTTGAGAAATTATCATCAACAATAATTGGAGATTCTTGTCATATTATAAATCAAAATTTTCAAAATAAAGTTTACGAAAAGACGGCTTTATTCTAATTATTACGCCCAGAATGACGATACCCAAACTCGCAAATTAATTAACACTACGAGCAAAAATGCCAACAATATTCTAATTCGTAGCTTATTTTAGGAAACGAAAAAAATGGCTTGAGATGGTAAACAATTTTCTGCTGACCAGTCACTTCTAGAAGTTAGTTCATTAGGAAACATTTGTACTTGTCCGTTTGATGACTTGAATTTTGATGAGATTTGAATAAATTGTAAGAAATGAAGAATTAAAATTCAGATATTCTTTGGTATTGGTGGGCAAACCTTTTAAAGTAGCTGCACTACCTTCCGAAAGTTACAGCATAAAAATATTATAGTAGTTACCACCTTTAAAAATGCAATACTTTCCAGCAAAAGCAACCATAAAATGACAATGACTAAGTCACATTAAAAACATTTTCCGTTTAATGCTATGAGAGATATTCTCCTCCCATAAAAAATAATATCGAACTAAAGGAAATTTAAAGGGAAAAATTTGCAAGTGCTGGAAATCGCATGTTATCAGCCCCAACTCTAATTTTTCTATTCATCTGCATTCTTGCCCTGCATTTTTCTTTCTCATGTTCCTTAGCTCTTTGCGTTTTTCCCTAATCTTCAGACGCGAAGACTTCCTCCCCTTCTGAGGACACGACAGTATTGCTGTCAAAATGCGTGCAGCCCCGCGCACCGCTCCCCGCTGTCACGCGAGTGCACAGCCAGCTGCTGATTAAAAGTAATCCCACGTACAAGGGTCGCGCGGAGAACGCAGGGATGGGAGCGAGAGAGGAAAAAAGAAGACGAGGCGAAAAAGTCGAACCACGTGGCCGCCGACGACACGTGTTCACGACGGGCTTTGCTGTGCGGGGAGACTAAGGAGAGAAGTATTTTTTTTAATAACTATTCTAATGAGACGGAGACCTACGCGATCATTGATGGTTCAATGATGACGTAAGCGAGATCCTTACTCTTAGACCTTTTTTCAATAAATGCTTATACAAGACTATTAAAGGGTTAAGTAAAGTTATGGCATAATTTGCTACATTATCGAATTTTTTGAAAAACTCTAAAAAACTCTTATAATGCAGTGATACGGTAGTCGAGTAGATGTATTACATAATATATAGTAGTAAGTAGCCTACATTATATACAAAAATTTGTGGTCTGTAATAAATACGCATACATTCACAACACATGGATTGTTACTTGATCTACTTGACAAAGACTTAAACAAGGCAATTCTATTTTAAAGCAATCATGTCTGGGATAATTCTGAGTGTACATCTGAAATCCTTATTTCCTTGTCCGATGTTCCTTCCAGTGTGTCGCAGAAGGCATTGTTTCACGGTCGTATTCGACCGAATATTTTAAACACTCGTTATAATTACAAATAACGCAGGCACAGGCGCAAACATAGTTCTCAAAGAGCAATATTACTATTTCGCTTCTATTACATGTCACCTATTCCTAACATAACATCTGAAAATAGTTATATTTCTGGGAAAAAAGAAACACTTCTCCCACAAACAACTTCTTGGACAAATACTGGTTTGGAGCACTGCTGCCGACGTCCCGACAACTGGATGCAACACATCTTACATGACACTCGTATCACATTAATAACAATGAAAACTACTCGTTACTGTTGATAACAATCGACACGCATTTGAACTTTTATATATGGACTTTAGACATGTTCACTATGCCATGCGTAATTGCTTTAATAGCTAAAAATGTGCGTAATAAAGATTGAAATCGGAATATATTTTAAAGAAAATATATTTTTGCCGTTTTCATTTTATCAAGGGAGATTGCTTTTCACAAATGCTTTTCCGTTCACAACACTATTAAGCCACGAAACGTCCAGTTCTGGTCATCAATGTTCCATTGCTTCCGGCGTCATCCGTATCAATATTGTCACCAAAATCGATTTAGCGTCCCAGTGCATACTGTGGCATGCTGCGGCCACCTCAGTCGCTGCATTCATCAACTTCAAAATCGCCCCATTGCTTAGCAACGGGGCCATTTTGAATATCACTCAATTCACTCACTCGCGATTATAGTAAGTGGGTGATTATTTACTTTTCGGGCACGTCAACAACTTTTAATAACTTTCAAAATTCCAGTGAGAATAGTGCATGTTATAGTAGGCAGGTGGCAGAATTTCTCTCCCAGTAGAATGAGAGATTCGGTGCAGATCTGCTCGTCGGTTTGCAGGGTTTTCCATCGCAAGGTATTGTAACGTATTAGCCAGCGTGCCTCATGGCATCTATTTGGGGACGCTTGGTTGCGGATTAGTCTCGCCACAGGAAGTAGGGTTTTTCCGTAAAGGGAAGAACGCGGAGACGGGAGACACAAGGCTTTGGGTGTCTTCCGGCTTATAGAAGCTTTTCACGGTTATAACAAGCGAGGGGGTGGCGTGACGTAGTAGGTCACGTGGGCCTCGCCTATATAACAGAGTGTACGGAGCCAGTAGGCAGGTTCTGGAGACGGTGGGAGAACCTCGTGCGTGTGCACAAAACTTGGCGCCAAGACGGTGCATATGCGAGCCAGGCTCGCGAGGCTGGAGTCATTAGTTGACGAAGCCTGCGGACTTTATGTCCTTGGGTGACTGCAGTCACGGGGGAGCGATGCTGTGTGCGTGCTCCGAGGTGAAGAGTGGTTGAGTGCCACGATTCACGCCGATTCTCAATCGGATAAGATCGCTCCTGCGATCGAGGCAAACCAGCCGTTGGTGCGCCAGAACGGACTTTGTGTCCCAGCGAGACATCCGGTCACGGAAGCTAGGCTTTGTGCGCGCTTCAAAAGTAGGAGTGGCGAATGCCACAATCAAAACCATCTTCAATCGGGTTTTGGATCGCTCCCGCGATCAGGGGATAGTAGGTCTATCAGAGCTAGGGTGTAAGTAGATTATTAAGTGTATATATTTGTTTTGTTTTCTTGTTAATAAATATATTTGTTATACGAAAGCTCTGTGTCTGTGGTCGCTGTGAGTATCCATGACGTCACAGTATCTTTCTCATGGGGAGAAAACCCCAGTCTTGATAAGCTCTAAGAAAACGAATGTTCTTGTGATGCACGTGTTAGAATAGTGCATGTAAAGTCGGTGTGTATGTGCAAATGGAGGTGAGGGGAACAAAATGAGGAAGGAAAGATCGCGCCAGGTCATTTGTAAGAGTAGTGCTCCGGTGTTCGCATAGTATTTGAAGGAAAATCCAGAAGCATAGTATCAGATAAGATCAAATTACCCGGCTGCTAGAATTATCTTCTAGACAGCGGCTGATTTCGCTAGGTTCGACCTACCTAGCGCCAAACATTCGTCACCGTCGAGTTCAAACCGTAGTATCTCGGTCAGAGCAGCACAAAACACTCGCTAAACAACTAACAAAGCGAACACGATCACTTAAAATATCATTGATGAGATCATTGAATCCCATTAGTAGTTAGCCACTAAATCTAATAAAAACAAAATTCACCCTGAGGGGCCCTACTACATAAGCAATGCGTAGAAAACGATATGGGTGGTGGTTCTTGCCTCTAGCAGCCCAGGGATCTCTCACGCCTTTCTGGCGCGTGGGATCAGAGGCAGATTTACCTTGAAGGAAAATAAGGCGTTTCTTAGTAGTCCCCATAGTTTGCATTCCAGGCAAACTATTATAAAATACTCCAAAAAGATACATATAATACGTTCGTATTTGTAAAGTAAGGAGTAATCAAAGGATTCACTGTACAAAAAATTCGTGCAAAAAATTATATCATAGTAGGGTGGTCCTTTGCAAGACTTCTTCCGGAGGTGGGCCTCAATTTTGAGCTCCAGCAGTACCCCGGGCACCCAGAAGATGGGCAGCTGGGACAACTTTCCGCAGGCCCCATCTTAATTTGGGCCCTGATTTTTTTAATTCAAAACAAATACATTTACTATTGATTCAAATTTACCACTACAAGTTGTGTCTGTTATCTGGAAAAATTAATTCTGTTTATGCAGTGGGTAATGGAATACTTGTTTGAAATAGGGAATCCCCGTGGATCTTCTATCCCAGGCCTCTTATTTCCTCTGGGCACTCCTGGCGTCAACTAAACCCGGTCCTAAGTAGGCAGGTCTCTGGACGTGATTTCTTGAAGCTATAAAACGGTCCCCGCGCTATTAGCGTTCTATTCGTGTGACGCAATCGTACGCAAATAACTTCAACTGACACCAATACCGAATGCATGAAGACATGTTGTACCACAGAAAAAGATGTCCAGCGGCAGCCCATTGTTGAGGTGGGCCAATCAATATTTTTCGCTTTCGCAGCCAGGTATTTTTTCCCATCCGGTCCACCTTTAACGAGTACCACAACCGTATTTCACCCATGGCTCAATGGCATCTCCTCCATTAGTTGCATGCAACCTCCACCATCCCCACCTCCTCCACCCACGCACACGGTAAAAGCGTATCGGTCAACCAGGCGCGGGACAAAAGAGGTCCGTGGCACACAGGTTCGAAACGCATCCAGCACAAGAAAAAATTGAAACAGAACAATGGGTAAACCCTATCACTTTAAAATGGACAACTTCTTGGTAAATTCTACGTGCGATTAATTAAAACAATTTTCAGTATAAATAAAATTAAAATGTTCTGTGTGTTATTCCAAGTTTTTGAGTTCGAAATTGGACTAAAGCATGGATTTTTAAGGGCGAAATATATTTCGGGAGCCTTCGGAATAGGAATAAAACTAGTTGTTTCACGACGTAAATTGAAACCATGTCAAAAAGATTTAGTAAATTCAACCACCAAAAATCTAAGACTTTTTTCTAGCCTTGTAGATATATTCTGCAGTAAGATTGTCCATCTCACACAGTCGCTAGTGCCGCGGAAAGGGCGTAACTAAAATCATAGCTGAAAGGGAGTTCATTTTCGACATATACGGCCCGAGTGGTGAAACACTACAGGGAAGAGTATATTTTGTTGCAGTTGTTGCTGATACTGATGTCAAAACGATATATTTGTTGAAGAAAAACATTTCTTATAGAAGACCTCACTATAAGTATATATGAAGTGTTTTACTTATCTATTTGTTTTTGAGAAAATACGGGAATATAGCTTCAAGTCACATTTAAATACGTATCATTCCTTCTGAAAATAATTCCTTATAATAAAGTTGAAATTTTGAAAATTTAGATGAAAAAGAGTCAGTTTTTTATTTTTTGGTTCTCAACATTTGTTTTCAGCCCTTTTCAGATTGAAATAATCGACATTTTTAATAAAATGTTATGATGTATGTCTTTCGTAAGTTGGATTAAATCGACACCTTCGGTACTTAGAAAAGTGGTAAAGTGGAAAAGTGGAAAAGCGATTGGCTATCTATAACGGCATTCAAGCTAGCTGTCAATCATGCTGGAAGGAACAATGAAAACAAAAGAGCCGTACCAAGAGTTAATAAATAAGAAGATAAATAGTAATAATGTTTTGTTTTGTTTTTCTCAACAAGAACAAAGGACCCACACTTCGGCAAAAAACATTCTGATCCTTGCAGGATCACATCAAAGGTTGTATGATATAAAGAAAGAACGAAAAAGGAAGGAAGGAATAAAACAAGAAGAAAGTACAGGAAAATCAAGATATTTTGTAAAAAAATGCAGATGCACCAATCTTCACATTACGACAAAACCATACGCTCCGCGTTTAGTTTCTGCCCACTGTATGGGACCATTGCGTTCCCGCCCCCCCTCTCTCCATTTCGCCCCGTCCTCTCTCCCGCCAATAAAAACCGGCGGCGCCCATCGCCACATGTCCGTCATGTCGATTGTCTTTTGTCAACGCGATCACGTGCGCGCCATTAATCACCGCGCCGGACACTCGCGTCGGGGGGCCTGGGTTCGAAAGGGACGGACGGCTGCGGCGGCGGCTCGGTGACGCGACTCGCAGCTTCCAATGAGCGAAGGCGCGGGTGGAGGGGAGGGAGGGAGGGAGGGAGGGAAGAGTGTAAGGGCAGGTGTGGGAGAGTAGGGCGAGAGCGTGTGCATGGTCACGGGGAGAGGGGTGTGGGGTGGGAGAAAAAGAGGGTACAGACATGCAGACGAGGACTGAGACTGAGGTTAGAGGGACGCGAGTAAATGAGTAGAACAAGAGTGTAATGAGTGTGGGGGCCTGAACGAGGGACGGGATACGGTAGAAGCGGAGATGGGAACAAATGATGGTGTGAGAGCTCTCCAGATCAGGGGAGGGGGGGCTTGCGCGTAGTACCTGACTTAAGCCAGTCAGCTTCAGACACCAACTTTCGTTACAATATTAGCGGGAGTTTTAAATGCAGACAGATACCAAAAATATCAACTCGTTGCAAGATATTGTAACAGATTTATGATGCATTTATTTTTAATATTGCATCTTGTACACCTTCATCGTGTTATTTTTCGTTGTTTGCCGTTGAAAATTGTCACTTTGTACCACTTTCAAAATGTTTCTCAACATTTATCGCTCTCCATGCAACATTTTTGTTTGTGAACAATGTAATTAATAATTTATGTAAAAATACTTATACTTTTGGTATAATAAATTATATCTTTATATTTAAAAATTATAGTTACGATTATTCTTATGATTACAGCAGATAGGAGGAAAACTAAGGGATAAAATAATTATTTTTAAATGAGATACTTTTATTTATCATATTGTCATATCACATTTTCACTCTTCTTGCTCCTCTCAAATACCCGAAATATTTAAAGATTGTCACAGAAATGCTTACATATAAGCATACTTATTCCGTAAGGCTTAACGGAAAAAGTTGGCAGTGGCATCGTACTTCCAAAATATGACTAATTAATTTTAAACGGGGTGTTCTAAAATTAACTGCAAGGACTGTCAATGTCATATATACTCATGTGTACGTCAAAGGCGTTGCGACATTTAGAACAGACCCTTTTCTAGGGTAGGTCGGCCGCGGATCTCAACATCCAGCGGGACAAGATCACCGCCACCCCCTGAGGAGGGGACTAATGACCTTAGTTGTCCGGAATCACTAATCAATCAATCAGTTTAAACTCCTTAACATTTCAACCCATAAATCAAGTAGAAAGAATAGAACTGAAGTTAACTCTGTAAAATAGAACAACGAAACTCTTTGGAAAATAATGAGTACGTCTTTGATTATTGCTTTAGTTGATCGATTGATTATTTGATTAATTTGTGTTTTCGGGCGCGACAACTGCTAGGGTTATTAGTTCTGAGGATGTAATGCATGTCACACCCCTGGAAGTGGCGATGTTTCTCTCTCAATAAGTTTAGTATCCCGCTACTCGTCGACTGACAGATTATTTACGGCACTCCACCCGTCGAACACTGCACCTCTCGGGAGCATGTATCTTCCCACTGGTCTCCCGACATGTGTTGTAGTATAGTGTATGAAAGTGCGCCTGCGCGCGCACGTGTGTGTGTGTGCGTGTGGAGGGGGGGTGATTGTGTATTTAAGAGGAGAGGAGAAACCAAGTATGCATGTGGTCCATGGCCCGTTCGTTAAAGTACTGCTACGGCATTCGCCTAGTAATGTTCGAAGAATCTACTAATAAGAGAATTCAGCGGCTAGAAGTCACTACTGACAGCAGCGTTCCCTACCTATCTAGCTGATGTCGAAAATCTCCCACCGTCCTTCCTACCTTGTTAATCCCACAAGACCAAACAAACGCTGGGGCTCCGGCGACAAAAGCAAGAGCAACTTGAGGGCGACGTAAGGACTGAAGGAAGACCCGTGCGATTCATCCACTCATGGACAAATGTGGATGGTGGTTCACGGTGCAATGATCTTTACCAGATAACTGTAATCAAAGGGAAAATAAAATTCACCTAACAACACAAATGATAAAGAGTTATTTTTATTTCCTATGAGCCTCATTAAAAGCTTAAAAATAATACCTGACTCAACTAGTACCACATATCGAAAAAAAATTAATTCTACTTGAAGATAATTAAACATCAATTATAATATGATAATTATAATTCTGTGTGATTAATTTTCATTTTCAACTTAATTAGTGATAATTTAAATAATGATAAATTGAAAACATATCGTTGAATATTACAATGACAAATAGACACTTGTCATAATGAAAAATGTGCTATTACATTGGTTAATAGTGACGAATTTTTTAGAGTGGAATTACAACGAACATTGACATGAATACGTCTTTACATCGTGCTCGAATAGTCGAATGAAAAGTGTAACAAAATGAGTGATAATGATTCGTTTTGTAATTTCGAAACAACAGCACAAGCTAACGATAAATGTAGACGTGAGAGGGCAATGGGACAATTTATCTTGATCCGGTACAAAAGAGCTTTCGCTTGCACTAGGAATGACGGATTGTTTGATGAGATGGTGATGTTGATAATAATGATGCACAGATAATGATGACGGCGCAGCAAAATAGATGCTACTCTACGAGTTACGAGCGCTTAACTTTGATTTCCCCAGGCTTTCCCCTACAAACGGAATGGTGAATGATTTAAAGAGTAGCTAAATTACAATGCTAAACAATGATTATTTAACAGAATTATTGTCGTTAATTTCGTCAATTATTTCGCAGAAATGAAGGACAAGAGGATATACAGTACGCTCCAAAAAAGGCAAGCCTAGAGTGTTCACCACAGCGTAAATATAATTAGAGTATAATTGGCAATTTTATCTAGGGGCGACATTTAAAACTAAAAGGAAGGGAGCAATCAGTGTTGAAAACGCCGGTGACATTCAAATGGCGAATTAACTAACTCAAATATTCTATTTAAACGATTTTTAGACTATATATGGAGTTTTCTTTCATTAATTTTCTTCATTTGACCATTACAAAATAGGAAAATTATCAATGAGACACTAAGAAACAGAATACATACATAAGTAGATACACACAATACGCACATATTTTCACGTTTTGTTTCTAAATTTGCAATTTTCGAAAATTCAGAGAGTTCAACAAAATTGAGACCTTCTATTTTGACAACAAAACTGAGACAAGCTATTCTTTTAAGAGTCCTTTCTTCTATCCGTCTAAAAGCTGGAAGCAAAATTAATGTGTACATATATGATTTTTTTCTCAAGAACCGCTACAGATTTTTGCTCCGGTACTGCTGGGGTAGTACCCTAACAAACGGGACACGGAACGCGTGCGATCTTTCTTACCATTGTCTCCTATCCTCTCCCCTTACACACACACACAACCTTACGGTAACACGCACTACTCTAATACATATGTAGGGAGACCGGATGGAAGATTAGAGCATATC